AGACGCTCAATTCATGGCATTCGCGCAAACGAGGCGCATTCGCATCTTCCGCGCCGCAGGAATTTTTTACGCGCGTGACGCGTCTTTGCATTGACTTAACATTGAAATCATTCGCGCCGGACGCGCTATTCGCGTCCGGTGTGAACGCACCATCAGATGTCAAAAGCTCAACGAAAATTTGATTTCTCAGTTCATCACCCCTTTAAGGATAAATTTAAAGTTAAGAGTTTTCCTCCTTTGAAAGTCAAGGCAACCAAAACGTCCAAGCTTCAAAATTTCCAAACTTTAAGACATCGTTTGCTGCCATTGATGTAACTTTCCTGCTTTCCGTGTTTTGACTGTTGCACGGTAGGGGGCGCTATTGCACATCTTCTGAAAGAGTCCTGAATCTCTGGAGTAAAACACAAGCAAAGAAGCAGCAAGTGATAGCAAATGCAAGCATTTGTATGTAAAATAATGCAGTCGTCAACATAAAACGGCATATAAATCAAAAACGGCTTGATGTTACTGAATGAGACTTTTGGGGTGTTGATGGACTTGATCCACTCCATCTGTGTTTTGATCAGCATTCTGAAGCCAATCTGGATCAATCAATTATGTATATATATATTACGTTTTTTGCTCTAAATGATCCTTTTTTTAATGAAACTGACTCACATTCAAGTGTTGATAAACAAAGAATGCATGAAGCAAGAATTAAACAGGTTTTTTTTATTTTGATATAAAATGCATGTTCAGATATTCATACAAAATATATATATATATATATATTCTAGGGGCCATGAAACATTTGTGAAAATGATCAAAAATGCTGCAGCTGGATGGCAACTTACTTTTTCCTTAACACTGGTGGTAAAAGAGCGATAAGATGAACTCTTTATGAACTCGAAGCTTGAAAGTGTTGCATTGACTTTCAATGGTAAAACTGAAAATATATATATTTATATATACATAAATATTCTGTATGTTTTCTCTTATGGGTTTGAAACAACATGAGTGTGAGTTTGGTACACAATAATAGTGAGTTCAGTTGATGTGTGTATATTTTCTGTTTAATGCTGAACACAATACAGGTGATATTCTTTACTCCCTTATCTAAATAGTGTGTTGACTAATAGGGAAACACAGTTTATCCAGTTATCAAGCTGCACATGTTCCTCTTCGACCTCATATGAGCCTCTTTGTCCATCTTACTCTAATCGTTATTGTTCTTTAATATGGGCCCTGATCGTCTCAGTAATGCTGTTTAATGGCCCACTCCTCTCTCTCTCTCCTCATCCCGGCCTCTAATGGCGTTCGCTCGGTTTACTGTAGCAGGATGTAATTAAAAGGCTTATCACTTCCTCCGGCTCTGTTTAACGACCGTTTCAGAAGTGTGCAGTGGTGCCGTGACCCTGCTCTCCAGTCGAGCCTTAGGGGCCCAACTATCAGACGAATCCAGTTTCCTCTCCGCTGAGATTTGGCTGTTCATTTAAGTCTCTGTGTGTGTGTGTGTGTGTACAGAAGCTGCCCGAAGGCAGGAGTTAGTTGTGTCTGAGTCAGGGAAGGGCTATTAGTTTGGCTGATTTGCGGAAATGCCTAGTTTGACCTCCGAGATTGTGCTTGCAATTGCACTTCAGTGTCCGTTTTTATACGTGCACCATATCAATCTTTCTCTGCCCTCGTTCTTACCTTTCCTTGATCGCTTTGTTTTTTCATCTTGCCTTCACTGTTCTCACACACAAACACACACTTTTCTTTCCCTCTGTCTCTTCGGATGGACCGCTTGCTTGCATAAGATATGACATAACGTCAAATAATGACAGACATGATTAAAAGAATGGAGTTCATGAAGAGGAAACCAAAAGTAGTCTGGCATAATCTTTCACTTCACTGATCATTAATATATCTGTCTCTTTTTATCTATCTACTGTACGTATCTGTCTGTCGTTCTAGTTCTCTGTCTTTCTGTATATATATGCATTAACCCTATGTGGGCTAAGCCCTTTTTTGGTCCGTTTTTCTCTATTTTTACATTTTGGGTTTATAAACTATATGTAATGGAGATGGATCACCATGTGTGTGTTTGGTATCTATGGATTCAGAAGACCCTAAGGTAACATAGGCATGCATGTAATGTGTTTTTAAAGGAAGTATGAGTGAAAAATGAACAGAAAACTAGATAATTTCAAAAACGGAAATTCGATTTTTGTCATTTATTTCTGAAAATCACACAAAAGTGAACCGTTTTTGAACGAAAAATACATTTGTCAAAGCCTTTGCTTGACAGACATGTGTGCTTGTTAAATAAAATGTGTAAAGAACAATGAAAAATCTAACTTTATTAAAAAATAGTCCCAGGCGTTTTTCTTAGGAATGCTCAGTTTTCCAAGCAATGTTTTCTCCTCATCAGTAATAATCAGCAATGTTCCACAGTAAATCGTTTACTGCTTGCCATCATTAAAGAGCTAAAATAATAAATAATGCTATAATTGTATGTGTATATCTATATTTTAGTTCTTCTGTCTCTCTCTCATATAAATCTCATCGCGCTCTCGCTCTGTAAAGCCTTGTTTATACTCGATGCGTCCGTTTGTTTTTTGTCATCTCCTCCTCCACTCGACGCTGTTTGCATCATATCCCTTACTATATACTGTAGTATCACCCCTTGCAAGGCCACTGAGTCCTCAGATTTGCTAGAATACATATGGTAACTTTCCCCTGATTGGGTAAGAAAAATATTTCTGCATCAGCAATTTTTCCATTGGTTGTTGCTCGTGAATCTGCCAAACAACATCGATTTCTTTGGCCTTTGACTTAGTGGTATTGCACAACAAGGAAGTGTGTATACAAGCCTGGTAAGAAATCACTGTTTTCTGACAAAGATGGCAAAAAAGACCTCTCTATCATGAATAGTTTTTAAGAAAATTACACATTTGTAAAAGTATGCCTTTTGGGCGGTACAGCCCAATCCGTCCCCAGAGGGTTAAACTGTCTGCTATCAAATTCTAAATTGCTTTATTGGCATGTCTGTAAATAATACAATATTGCCAGAATACTTAGAATAATGCTTACAAAATACACACAGAATAGTAATAAAAACATAAAATATATATATATATAATATAAATAAACAGTGCAACAAATTAGAACTTGTAAACATTTGATACCACAGTGTTTTTACACACTCACACACACAATCATTAATACCATTGATCAGATCTTATCTATCAAATGTGTTTGCATGTTTCCACTAACAAACGAACATTGTTGTTGTTATATATATATATATATATATATATATATATATATATATATATATATATATATATATATTAGGGCTGTGCAAAAGTTAATTGCGATTAATCGCATCCAAAATAAAAGTCTGTGTTTACATAATATATTTGTGTGTGCTGTATATAATTATTTTGTATATATAAATACCTATGCATGCATGTATATATTTAAGAATTATTTGCGGTTAAATTCTGTATATATTTATAAATACATAATCTATATTATATAAATATAAATATTTGATATATGAATAACATATTTTCTTAAATATATACATGCATGTGTGTGTATTTATATATACAAAATAATCATATACAGCACACACAAATATATTATGTAAACAGAGACTTTTATTTTGGATGCGATTAATCGTAATTAACTTTTGCACAGCCCTAATATATATATATATAATTGATACTGTGAAGCTGCTTTGATGCAATCTATATTGGGAAAAGCATTAGGCCTATATAAATATAGACGCGGGCGCCATTACTGAGCTGTTGCTGGGTAGCGTTGCGCCATTGCCTCCTATTGTTTTAGTTGCAACTTGCGTGCACTGGAATAAACAGCCCGCGATTTACGACTGTCACTAACGTTACAACGTTACCCCTTGTATAATGTCGAGTGGGTAAACAGTTTCCGTTATAAATTGTTTCAATGGTGGCAGTAAAATTTCAATTTTGAAGAGAAAACACTGTGAATACCCCGGGTCGACTGCCCCCGTCTGGTGTCGTACGGTTTACATAGATTTCCTGGGCGAGTACAAGACGCGGACATTCGCGTATAATAACAATTATTTAATGACATAAGTAAAAAAATATAATAAATATGTGATATAGTGATCAGCAAAATCTCCTCTCTTGCTATTTTTTCTATTCAATTAACATGCTATGGTCATTAAATGGCTTTCCTGAGCTAAATGTAACGTTATGTGACATAATTGTTCTCCTGCTGTTATATTGACCTCTTTCCATGGTTTAAAAACACCAATTGGTCGATATTATGTATACTTTCTAGCTGTAACGTTACCTTACCCTTGCCCGTTGCAATGTGAAAATGCGATAAATAATGGACACAAATGAAAAACATGAATTTGTGTTTTTTTGATTTCATTGCCAAATGGACAGATATTTTTATAGTTTCCTCGTTAGCAAACGTTAGCCTAGCTAGCTTGCCAAGCTATTTTCATAAGTAATCTGTAAGATCGTTTGTACCTTCATCTGTGACTGGAGCCCACTGTCTAACATCATCAACCCAACAAGTCATTCTGCCTGGCTGTAGCTGTCATCGAGGGTGCGTTCGCGTTATCACCGAGGTTTGTTTACATACCGGTGCACATGTCTATGCCGGTGTAACAGCTCAGTAATGGCGTCGCCACAAGATGGCAGCCTACACAGAACGCTCGTCGGATTCGTCTATACTTGACACACACACAAGAACGTCCTCCTCAACTAGTTAGGGAGCTTTGATTGATCAGTAGTTGAGATGTGGTGTGTTGTGGGATCAGTTTCTTCATGCTGTTGTCTATTTTACTGATCTGTTTCTCTATGTAGGTCATCCACCCATCTGTCTTTCTATCTCTCTGATGATTGGTCGACTGTTTTCCCAACGCTAATTGTTTTTCCCACTAGATGTTTTTTTATTATTCCTGTCCCACTGTTTTGCACGATTAAGCTCCATTAATGACAGTATTGTAATGTGATGTTTCTGGTTTGTGTTTTCAGGCTCTGAGGGCGGAGCTTATGGAGCGTGAGCATGTAGTACTCAGCTCATTGGATCAGGCACACATGTTTCTGGCCGATCAGCCAATCGAAGGACCCGAAGAGCCACGCAAGAACCTGCAACCCAAAACTGGTGAGAGCCCGTGATTTCTTTTGTCCTGCCATCCTCTCAGATGTGAAATGGTTGAAATGCACTTGAAAAGTCTTGATTTATACCGAGTTTTGGTCCTATGAGGCAAGGAGAGAGTATTTTCTACAATAAATGATTGCTCTTAAAAAGAAGGACTTGAGAAACTTTAACCAGTATGAGAACATCACACACACACACACACTCTCTCTCTCTAAGGGATGCTCTTTGATGTAAGTGAGTCTCTGATAAGTCGGACACCTCCTGTCAACACGCTCTTAACTGCGGGATCTGATGTCTGGGAAGTTCCCCAGCTCTCTGGACACCTCCTCTGGGACCCGCTTGAAAAGCTCATTTAGGACGAGCATCAGATAGAGGGAGTGTGTGAGAGCACGTACGCATGCGCACGGATTCCAGCAAGCGTTTAGGAGGAGTGTGTGAATGCCCGCTCTGAAAGCGGGTTAATTGGCAGATCAGAGACCGCAGGCTCTCTCCACTTTTCAACTTTCCTGAAGCTCAATGTTTCCTGTCCTTCAGAAACGCCAAAGTCATCCAGAGCAGAACGTTTTCACGAAGGCAAGCAGGAACTATTACTGCTGCGCGTTCTGAGAGTTAGGGATTTGAACAAACCATCACGGCTGGTGTTAGCGAGTCTGACTGGTAACCAGTGGACTCCAGTAAATGACTGAGGAGTAAGGCTCCCAATCACTCGTAATGGCTGCCCACTGCTCCGGGTGTGTGTGTGTGTGTGTGTTCACTGCTCTGCTCCTACTTGGATGGGATAAATGCAGAGGACAAATTCCGAGTTTGGGTCACCAGACTTGTCACTTTCGCTTAAGTCTGCATTTTAAACTTCGCTGCATAACTCGTCCTCAAATGTTTGTGCGACACACATGAAGGACATCTCAAAGCCAAAGTCACACTAAGCCAACGTCAAAGAACTAGTGATGACCAAAGCCTTGTTGTCAGCTCCTATCGGCTGCGTCTCGACCGAAAACACTCCAGCCGACTGTCGACTAGCACAGGCCTGGGGTCCATTTACTCTCAAAGACAGTTGAAACATTCTTCTGAATATCATCTTTTGTGTTTCACTGGATAAAAAAAAAGTTATTCAGTTTCCATTCGAGTTTGGGAAGATATGAGCCCGTTCTCATCCTTTGGTGTCATATAGGTGACATTTCGTAGAAATACTACGCACATGGCACCCTTTATCGTCAATATAACACACAGAACCCAAGACGTCATAAAGGTGAGTCTCAGACCCAACCCCAGAACATTGCATGTTATATTGACGATAAAGGGTGCCATGTGCGTAGTATTTTGACGAAATATCATATGGCATCACCTATATGACACCAAACGATGAGAATGCGTTAGAAGATATATAAAGAGCAGAAATACAAAGTTCTGTCATGAAACTCCAGGTTCCCCAGCTCCACCTGTATAGATCTGCTATGGGTAATTCACCTGAGCTATATTGTACAGCAGCATGTCGTGTATGTATGGCAGTGGTGTGTGTGTGTTTGAGATAAACATGGCTGTGTAGAAGGTTTGACATTTATGGAAGTAATTTTGAGGGTCGTAGATTCAGTGTGCCGCTTATTTAAAGGGATAGTTCACTTTTAAAATTAATTTTTGATATGTTTTATCTTACCTCAAGGGCATTCAAGATGGTGTCTTTGTTTCTGCAGTATTTTCAATTTTGATATTTTTAGGTCAAACCGTTCTTGTCTGTCAGTCATATAATGGAGGTCTATGGTCACCACCTCAAAGAGCATGCACAGAGAAGTCCAAATTAAACATGATTTAATGACTCGTGAATGTAAGTACACATTGATGGCCTAAGACCCGAAACGAGCGGTTTGTGTGAGAAAACCAACAGTATTTATATCGTTTTTACCTCTTGAAATCACAGACAGGTCCAAGTGATCTGAAGGCGCGGGGGAAAGCACCGCAAGTGATCTCTCGCACAAACCGCTCGTTTCGGGTCTTAGGCCATCAATGTGTACTTACATTGTTTAATTTGGACTTCTCTGTGCTGCTCTTTGAGGTGGTGACCATAGACCTCCATTATATGACTGACAGACAAGAACGGTTTGACTTAAAAATATCAAAATTGAAAATACTGTGGAAACAAAGACACCTACATCTTGGATGCCCTTGAGGTAAGATAAAACATACCAAAAATTAATTTCAAACTTTAATATTTCCACCACTCATTTGCACATTTACTCGGGATGTCAGCTGGGCTCCGAAGGGCAGTGTTTCTGTTTTCTGATCTCTCTCCAAACACCTCGGGCGATCTCCCATGCCGAATCCTCGGGCGATCTCCATCTTTCTTTATCCCTGCGATCAAAGTGCAGCGCTCAGCTATCTGAACAGACGCACTGCAAGAGATAAAATCATACACAGCTAATGTTCACGCAAAGCCATGTTTTCCAAATCAAACTGTATGTTTCCCAATGTAAAGCAATCTGTTCCCCAGTTCGTCGTCAAATGAGCATAAACAAGCCGCTGCGAAACCGTCACTTTCATTTCCATTCAACCCCTGGATCTTAATTGAATTTCAAACCTTTCCAGAAACGCCTGAACGCATTTGAATTGTAAATTGGTTCCCGCTTGGCTGAACCAGAAATATAAAGATGAAAGATAGAGGTGAGCACTTGTGGAATGGAGAAATCAGCCCTGCCGTTTGTGCTCAAGTGTCTTCTCCTCACGTCCTCAGAAGAGCCTGAAGCTGAATGAAAGAGCAGATGTTAATGCTGTAGACCTGCCCGTAGACATGCCCTCGGCTCTCTCTAAATAGCCCAAACATCTGCTGCTGTCGTCTGCAAACCTCCCTCTCTTTAGCTCTTTAGCTCATTAGCTGAGTGGACTCGTTAAAGTGACCCCTCTCTAAGCAATGTGGAAAAGTCAAAAAGCTGACAGGTCAAATTGTTTTCATATTGATAAATGTGAGGTGCTCAAAAGAGTGTTTATTACTGTAAGCTTCCCATTGGCGGTATTTTAGGGATCATATGCGAATCCCAAACACACAGACGGTTCCAGACAGTATGTGGCAAAATTATACCGCCTTGTCCATTCCTTTGAAAACACATCTCTTTCTGTCCGTTTTGGCCTTCCTCCACATTGAGTATTTTTGAGAACCTAGGCGGCGCTTTTTTAAAAGCTTTCCCAAGTGGATGAATTTGAAACGCTGTTTTTGCTTTGTTGTGTGGACTGTGAAAACTGAGCTTTTGTGACGCATGTTGTTCTCATAGATATCTATCTTTAAACCGGCATGTTTGTGCCTGCTATATACTCATAGTGTTCCTATGTACAGTCTCTATATTGCATTTCTGCAGAGATGACTGAAAATGAACTCGCAATTGCTTTCCTGCGGTCAAACATGATGACGATTGTGTTTAAAACATCAATATTTCAATCAATACCAAGTCATTATTTTTCCTGGAACACACTTGTGCACATAGTGTTTCATTTCCAAGATCTAAGGCAAATTATTGTCAAAAAAGACATGTAGTTGCAAAGTTACTTATAATCAGTAGAACGTCTAAAGTGACTATCGAAATAATAAAGTGTAACCGAGCAACTTAAATTCTTACAATATTGCATTTTCTACGTGGTTCGATTCGCTTATTCGCAATATTTCAATGCGTGCCAAAATGTGCTCATGCAAGTCATGTGAGTAAAACTGTCTTATCATTGGTGCATCTGTTTATATTCTGGGATTTAAGATGCAGACTAGCTTTTGTTACACACACACATTATATATATATATATATAAGCCTTGATTCCCGCTCTACATGTAATTGATCAGTTCGAGCAGGGATTAATTAATCCTCCGTCAGGAGAGCACCTGTTTCTGATAAGAGCAATCACACATTTCTAGATGAAGAAGGAGCGCTTTGATTTTCAATAATTAATGTGATAAACGATTACTAGTGTGCTCACCCACAGAATCAGACGCCGCTGCTTTTTACACAAAGCATCTTCCATTATGAATTGTGAGACAGCTTAGTTTAGGGGTCTGTCGGTTCAGATTGCTTTCTCACCATGACCTCTCCACTCTAGAGTTAGTTTTCAATCGCTTCAAGACTAACTCGTGCAGGTGATCTCAGATCTCGGATTATTTTGCAGAGTGTCCATGTTTGTATGCCCGATTACTACAATGAAAAGTTTTATTAATAGCTCTAATTCAATGAGAATAGTGAAGTCTCGTTACAGAACATAAAGCACAACCTTATCGTCCATTGATGTGGATGTTAAAGAGCCTCTATAATGCTATTTTAAAGTTTCCTAATTTTTATTTCTGATTGGCTAGATTGGTCTACTCTGCTCTGATTGGTCAGATGGCCCAGTCTGTTGTGATTGGTCTACTCTGCTCTGATTGGTCAGATGGCCCAGTCTGTTGTGATTGGTCTACTCTGCTCTGATTGGTCAGATGACCCAGTCTGTTGTGATTGGTCTACTCTGCTCTGATTGGTCAGATGACCCAGTCTGTTGTGTTTGGTCTACTCTGCTCTGATTGGTCAGATTCCCCAGTCTGTTGTGATTGGTCTACTCTGCTTTGATTGGTCAGATGGCCCAGTCTGTTGTGATTGGTCTACTCTGCTCTGATTGGTCAGATGGTCCAGTCTGTTGTGATTGGTCTACTCTGTTCTGATTGGTCAGGTGGCTCAGTCTGTTGTGATTGGTCTACTCTGCTCTGATTGGTTAGATGGCCCAGTCTGTGATTGGTCAACTTGAGCAAGATATTTCTCAGTGATTCGCTACTCAGTTCGAGGTACATTTTGAGATGTTGTAAATGTAATTCCTCACCATCAGCATCAGCATTAATAAGTGTACGTCCATCAACACACCGATGTGTATATTTCGAATGTATTGTGGTGCACATGCGGGAACTGTATCTATAACAGTGCTTATAAAACGGTTAGTTCCAATCCTTGATTCTGATTGGCCAATAGCTGTGCTTTATTCATGATAAAACACGGCTATGGCCGCTTCACCCAACCGTTCATCACTGCGCAACACTGCGGTTCCAGTGTAGTGTTTATTTGAGCTTTCATGCAGATTATACATTGGAGCGTTGTTGTTGTTCACAGTCAGGGACTATTTTTCTTCTAGCGGAAGGAAGGCTTGTAGTGATTTTACTTCATGAAAGTTGCACTAATACATATTTTCTTTTACTTGTTTGGTAACCGTTTTATAAAACCAATAAGTTACTCAATGCAAGTGCTGTATCGTGAATAAGTCACGGCTGAAGGGGTTAATCCGCTTCGCATCTTGCCTAACAACGCCCTTCAGCCGTTACTTATTCACGATACAGCACAGCCTCTCGTACCTTATTGCTTACATATGTTTGCCCTGCGCTAACATGAATGACTGATATAACGTTAAAGTTGGCAAAACAAATCTTGCTCCATCTATTATCTTTTCTCAAAGTATTATGAACAACAGATAATCTGCAATAATATCAGTGAATTTAGCACTAATTTGCGACATGTACCAAACAAACCAGCTATAATGTTTATGGGCGAGTCAAAATTGACGTTGTTCGTGTGCAGCCAATGAGAAACCATTATGCTAATGTGTTGCCGCATTGCTCACAGTTCACAGAAGTGAGACTTGAATTCCTGATGACTAGTATAGGCCGTTCAGTGTCCATTCTTCCTTTTGGGAGACAATAATTTTATTTATCATGCACGTTTGACTTTACAACTTGGCAGACCGTTTAGCTGCATTTCACACTGCATGAAAGGTAATATTCGAAAAAAGCATAATGGGGCACTTTAATATAATTATTGCTAGTTATTTATAAAGTCATCTTTGTGTGAATGGGCCTTTAGGCTCCTCTGTAGTTTGACACACAGCATCTGTATATGCTTTTGTGTTTCACTGTTTAGCACTGTAAAATCCAAATGTACCTTTTTAGATCCTTTCAGAGAACTTATCTAAAATGAGGTCAATTGAAGTGAAGACGTAACTCGAATGGAGTTTGTGTCTGTGGTTTTCCTCAGAGCCGACCCCGGAGGAGAAGGCCCAGCAGGTGGCGAAGGCTATCCGTAAGCAGACCGCAGAGGTGAGTGAGCGCTGGGACAGGCTGATGGGACACGCGGGCACCTGGCAAGAGCAGGTGGAGAGAGCGCTAGATAAACTCCAGGACCTCCAGAGCTCCATGGACCAACTGGACCTGCGTCTAGCCCGGGCCGAGGAGCTCAAGGCAGGATGGCAACCCGTGGGAGACCTTCTCATAGATTCCCTACAGGATCACATCGAAAGGACAACGGTGAGCTCATCACTGTGCTTATTCCCCACTGTGGCCTGTAACCAGTGGACGATGAGTCCAGGCCGAGCTCCTTAATCGCTAGGGATGATATCAGAAAAAGTTCAGCCAAGTCATCATGGCATATTAAAGGAATAATTGGTACAATTCTGTCATCAGTCTCATTTCATTCCAACCCCGCATGGCTTTCTTTCTTCTTTGGAGCATAACTGATGATGTTTATCTGGATGCTTTTCTACACTAACAATACCATGAACTGGAGGTTGTCAGGCTCCTTTCTGGAGCTTGACGGCCTGTAGTCTTTTTTTACTTCCATTGTGTGGAAAAGAGCCATGTGAACATCCAGTTTAACATCTCCATCAGGAAAGAAACATAATTGTTTGGGTTTGTAAGAACACACTGGTAGGGTAAATGGTGACAGAACTTCCTTTTTTTGTGAACTGTTCCTTTTAACAATTATTCTAATCAATCATTTTCCTGCCTAAAGCAATTTTTGTGTAGTTTTATCATAAAGTAACACTGTTACACCTCTCACACATGGTGTGAGTCATTTCCAAATGCTCCGGCTGTTGATTTATTTAAATGTCTGTTTGTGTGATATGCAGAGATAAAGCTGGTAATGTGATTATGGTAATGTGTGTGTTCCAGGCGTTTCGTGAGGAGACTGCTCCTCTGAAGCAGGATGTTCGAGCTGTGAATGATCTGGCAGGTCAGCTGACCCCCCTGGACGTCCAGCTGTCCTCCACCACCAGCCGCCAGTTAGACAACCTCAACATGCGCTGGAAACTACTGCAGGTCCTCTGCCTACACCTTACACTCTTTCCTTCACAGCTCTTTTACTTGCCCTTTTAATTCCCCTTTCCTGCCTAATCCTAATTCCTGCCTTTTCCTCCCCATACTCTTTTCTTGTTTCCTTTTCTGCCTTGCCCTGTTCCTTTCATGCAGGTCCTTTTCCTTTGTCCTATATTTCTTTCTCTTCATTTACTTTCCTCTTACTTTCCTCTTCCTCATCCTTCATGCAAGTACTCTTCACAGTCCTATCCTTAATCCTTCCCTTCCCATCCCTTCCCTTTCCTTTCCTTCCCCTTCCCTTCCCTTCCCTCCCTTTCCATTCCTTCCCTTCCCCTCCTTCCCATTCCTTCCCTTTCCCCTTCCCCTTCCCTTCCCCTTCCCATCCCTTCTCCCTTCTCTTCCTCTTCGCCCTCCCATCCCCTTCCCCTCCTTCCATCCCTTCCCCTTCCCCTTCCCTTCCCATCCCTTCCCTTCCCTTTCCCCTTCCCCTTCCCCTTCCCTTCCCTCTCCCCTCCCTTCCTTCCCTTCCCCTCCCTTCCTTCCGATCCTTTCCCCTTCCCTTCCCTTCCGATTCCTTTCCCCTTCCCTTCCCTTCCCATCCCTTCCCTTCCCTTTCCCCTTCCTCTTCCCCTTCTCTCTCCACTCCCTTCCCTCTCCCCTCCCTCCCCTCCCTTCCCTTCCCTTCCGATCCCCCTTCTCTTCCCTTCTCTTCCTCTTCGCCCTCCCCTCCCATCCCCTTCCCATCCCTTCCCCTTCCCCTTCCCTTCCATCCCTTCCCTTTCCCCTTCCCTTCCCCTTCCCCTTCCCTCTCCCCTCCCTTCCCCTCCCTTCCCTTCCCTTCCCTTCCGATCCTTCCCCTTCCCTTCCCTTCTGATCCTTTCCCATTCCCTTCCCTTCCCCTTCCCCTTCCCTTCCCTTCCCATCCCTTTCCCCTTCCCTTCCCTTCCTCTCCCCTCCCTTCCCTCTCCCCTCCCTTCCCCTCCCTTCCCTTCCGATCCCTTCCCTTCTCTTCCCTTCTCTTCCTCTTCGCCTCCCCTCCCATCCCCTTCCCCTCCCTTCCCATCCCTTCCCCTTCCCCTTCCCCTTCCCATCCTTCCCCTTTCCCCTTCCCCTTCCCCTTCCCCTTCCCTTCCCCTTCCCTCTCCCCTCCCTTCCCCTCCCTTCCCTTCCCTTCCCTTCCGATCCCTTCCCTTCTCTTCCCTTCTCTTCCTCTTCGCCCTCCCATCCCATCACCTTCCCTCTCCCTTCCCTTCCCTCTCCCATCCCTCTCCCTTCCCCTTCCCTTCCCTCTCCCTTCCCTTCCCTTCCCTTCCCTCTCCCTTCCCTTTCTCTTCCCTTCTCTACCCCTTCGCCCTGCCCTCCCTTCCGCTTACCCTTCCCTTCCTCTCCCTTCTCCTTCCCTCCCTTCCCCTTCCCCTTCCCTTCCCTCTCCCTTCTGCTTACCCTTCCCTCTCCCTTCTCCTTCCCCTTCCCCTTCCCCTTCCCTCTCCCTTCCTTCTCCCTTCCCTTCTCCTTCCCTCTCCCTTCCCCTTCTCCTTCCCCTTCCCCTTCCCTCTCCCTTCCCTTCCTTCCCTCTCCCTTCCCTCGCCCTTGCCCTTCCTCTTCTCTCTCCTCCCTCCCTCCCCTCCTCTTCCCTCCCTTCCCTTTCCCCTCCTCTCCCTTCCTCTTACCCTTACCCTTCCCCCTGCCCTTTCCCCTTCCTCTTCCCCTTCCCCCTCCCTTCCCCTTCCCTTTCCCTCCCTCTCCCTTCCTCTTCTCTCGCCTCCCTCCCCTCCCTCCCTTTTACCTTTCCTTCTAATGAATCCTCGCTTCTCTAAAGGTGATTTGTGTAATTATCCCAGTCTGTGTGTATGAGAGTATGCTGTTGTCAATAGAGTAATTGGTGTGTGTTTGTGTGTGTTTGAACTGTGATGAGACCATATCTGTTTTCCACAGGGTGTATTTCGAACACTCACTGAGACTGTAGACTGTGTGTCTGTTCATTACTGTCTTTCAAATGCTGAGTTGTTTACCCTGCTTTGAGTGTGTGGATGCATTTTTTCAGCATATTTGTGATACTTATCCAGCTTATCTTTTTCTCTCTCTGTCTCTGTCTCTCTCCAGGCGTCTGTAGAGGACAGGTTGAAGCTCTTACGGGAAGCACACAGGGATTTTGGACCTTCCTCTCAACACTTCTTATCCAGTGAGTCACTAACCCACATTTAAACAGTAAAAACATGAATAGGTTTACATAATCATGCCATTCTTCAACCCTGCCTAAAAAGTTACTGGTACTTGCATTAATACATAAATATAACTATCCCTTTAAAAAGACCAGCATGAATTTTCAGTGGTTAGTGCTGGTCTAGTTGTTGGTCTTTTCAGAAGAAACCCCTTAATAAAGGTTTTAAAACCGCATAACTCATTTCACACCTTTTGATATAAATGATACTTTAAATCATTCAGCTTGTTGAAGAATGGTCCGATGTTACTTGGTCCGAACGTAAACGTGTCTTTTTTATTATTGTGTTTTAGCAGGGGATTTTTTTAATATTCATTGTACATACAAATGTACAATGTAATTGATTGTGTACAGTGTAAATGTAATCAGTGTCGTTGTTGCAGACATTTGCCACTTCACTCTGAGGGGACACAACTAATTAAAATTCATTTTATTCTAATTGACACAAGTTTACACTCACGCACAAACAATATCTGGCAGCCATGTAAAATTAAACAGCCAGTGTCAGATACTGTGGAAAATCAGACATCACAGTCCACACACACACACACTAAGCTTTTGTGTTTAATAATTCAGAGGTTAATCGTCTACTATTTTCTGTTTTAGTGGACTGTCAAGAGCAGTCATGAACACACACACACACACACTAGATTTAGTTTAGCAGTTTTAATGTTCCCTTTTATTGGCTGTATTGTGCCAGTTACATTTAAATGAAACAACAAGTTATATAACATACAAATTATATTCTCTCTCTCATCTCATGGTCTCATCAAACCTTTTTTTCCTGAAAGGTTGGCAGCAAATGGCAGCAAATTATTAGTATTTTTTTTACCTTATTACAACACCCGCCATGTCCTTTTCTGTCCCATCTTGTCCTTTCACATCCCTTCTCCATCCCATGACTGCGCTGGGAGTTACTCCGCAGCTCGACCCTTCGATTCATAGAGTTCAGTGTGTATTGGGTAATGCTGACGCGCTTCAAACTTTTAGAGTTTGTTCTTTGAAGTTGTATCATCCCGTTTCCCATGCCATTAGCTTCAAAAGCAGTGTTGCGTACACTACATTCTGCTGAGAGAGCAGATGGGTAATATATATCATCAAGTGTGTACCTCTGGAACGAGGGTTTAGTGTCGGGAGAAATTAAAAGGGTCCGCTGATATGAGGGAGATGTTCTTAATTAATGCTTCATTTCCCAACACCATCATGACCAGACCCCATCTAATCTTTTATTATGTCCGCAGCTTCAGTGCAGACGCCCTGGCAGAGAGCGGTGTCCCAAAATAAAGTGCCCTACTACATCAAGTAAGTGCTGCGTCTGACACACACATCTGTTTCCACGTGGACCGATCTCTTGAAGGGTGCTTTCACTTTTTTTGTGGTCCAAAAGATGTTTTGCTTTGTTCAATACTGATATACTACTTATTTATTTCTATCAAACCATCTTTCTATTTTACACATTTCTAAAGTAATAGCCTCCAAAAGCTCCTGTAAAATACAAAAACGTTAGTATCATCCGCCAATAGAACTAATTTTATGTGATTTATGTATTTATTTAAAATGTGAAAAAAATAAAAGTACTTGAGAGAAAGAATAATACACTTTATGAATTAATTTGCATGGTTACTTCATTTATTAGTCACTAAACTGAGTTTCCGAATTGCAGCGAACCGATTGTCCCATGTCTGGAGTTTAGTAGTGTAGAAAAGGAGATGAAAGAGTGTGTGTGTGTGTGGGCGGCAGGTGTGTTGTGAGGAATGGCCAGTAGCTGAACTTCTTTAGCGCGCATGGCTCTGACAGCACCCATATGGCTGTGCATTCATGAATACACCACAGATCGTTTTTTCCCCTTCATCGTTTTATTTCCTGAGGGAATCTTTCTTACATGTCCACAAAACCCTTGTGTGCGACTCTAGAGCGCTGCTCTCCAGAACAAACGTTTGCTTCTCTGTGCATTGTGTCCTCGCGGCTCGTTGATCTTCCTGACGCGGGGCTGGGCGAATTAGCAAAGCGAATTAAAAGTGTCTGTGAGGGAATGCCCTGACCCCTCTGAAGACCAAACTCAGCGCAGGGCAGTCTGCACCAGCTCATTTGTCTGTATAATAACTTTAAAGTGGAAAGAATTGCGACAAAGTGGGTATTGTGTGTGGCAAGGTGTTTTCACCATTGGTTTATCTTTAATCAAACATCTTTAAGTGGTCAAAAGGTGTAAAATAACCCAGTTCTCTAAGCATTCACACTGGTCCTGCTCTCAAATGTGGTTTCAGATCTCTTTCTGTTTGTTTTTGGGTCTTTCTATGCACAGTATTGTGTGTTTGTTTGTGTTAACCTGCCCACCTGAATTTTACTTATTGCATGGCACCTTACCGAACTGATAAATACAAAGGAAATATACAAATAATGTATTTTTATTATTATTAATGTTGTTATGTTAGAAGAGAGATGTGTAAAAGAGATTTACTGTTATTAGAATACTATTTAAAGGGTTAGTTCACCCAAAAATGAAAATTCTGTCAGTACTTACTCACCCTCATGTTGTTCCAACCCCGTAAGACCTTCGTTCATCTTCGGGACACAAATTAAGATATTTAAGATATTAAGATCGCTCCTGCATACAGTCCATAGGCTTCTTGAGGTACTGGCTCTTGCCGTCCCCGAAAAGTCATTAAAGACATCGTTAAAATAGTCCAAGTGACTACAGGGGCTCAATCTTAAGTTTATCAAACGACGAGAACACTTTTGTGCGCAAAAAACCAACAAAAATAACGACTTTATTTCAACTATTGGTTTATTTCTCCCTCTTGCGCGAGTCAGGTTACTAGTTTAATAGCGTAAGCTTCTGTTATTGTACGTCACACGCATTACACACACATGACCAGCGTCGGCCAATAGTGAGCCTACGTGTGACGTAGCTTTACGCAATCACACTACGTTAACTGACTTACAGGCTCATGGAGAAGGAAGTGAATAGTTGAAATAAAGTCGTTATTTTTGTTGTTTTTTTGCGCACAAAAGTGTTCTCGTCGTTTGATAAAGTTAAGATTGAGCCCCTGTAGTCACTTGGACTATTTTAACGATGTCTTTAATGACTTTTCGGGGACAGCAAGAGCCAGTCCCTCAAGAAGCCTATGGACTAGTATGCAGGAGCGATCTTAATATCTTAAATATCTTAATTTGTGTTGCGAAGATGAACGAAGGTCTTACGGGGTTGGAACAACATGAGGGCGAGTAAATACTGACAGAATTTTCATTTTTGGGTGAACTAACCCTTTAATAGCTGTTTGTGTGTGTGCATTTATATGTGTATATTTATGTATATAGCTATAACAATTATTATTGTTTTTATTATTATTCACATTTTTTGAAAATTATTTTATAAAATAATGCCCAGAAATGTTCTTATGGTCTTATATAAGTCACTCACATGAGTGAAATGCTGACTCTTCTCCACTAAAACACAAACTTTCTCCAACACACACCAATACTTACGCCGACTCATATCGTCAAACATTAATTGGAGAGATCAAAGGGATGAAATGTGTTTGAAAGTAGAGTGTGTGTGTGTTGGTTATTATTTTAAAGCTTTTCAAGTGGAGATGATGATGTCTCAAATGTCGGCCCTGCGTAAAGAGTGACAGAGGACGTAAGAAAGGAAAAGTATTTTATCTACAAAGTATTTTTGTCGAAAAGCTTATTTCTGTAACTCTTAAGACTGTTTTGTGAATATAATGAGTTGAGTAGAGTTCATGTTTATTCATCTTAGTGTGTGAGACCGGCTCCCTGGACTTCAGAGAAGTGTGTGTGTGTGTGTGTGTGTGTGTTGAGATGAGAGAGCAGCATCTAATCCTGTCAGCAGCTCACCGCTGTGAATAAAACACATCTCGCATCCTCGCCGTACGAGCGCCTGCTTCCTGCAGAATCAAACTAAGCTGTTACTTCTTAGTTTTTTTGTGCTTTACACATTTACACTACTGTAATTTACACTGTATTTACACTACTGAAAATATATTAGTTTCCACCAAAATATGAAGCAGCACAACTGTTTTCAACTTTGATAATAATAAGAAATGTTTCTTCTTGTGACATTGATGCTGAACATTCAGCTTTAATCACAATAAATTGCTTTTTAAACATCACAACAGCTATTTTAAATTGTCGTAATATTTCACAATATTACAGTTTTTACTGTATTTTTTGATCACATCGAGCAGCTCCTCCCCTTTTTAAAAAAGCCAATGGCATTTAGTTTATATCACAACTCGGCCAGAGCTGTTGAGCTTGATAAAGCCGCACTTGACATCTTATGTCAGCCAAAGTCGAATATATTCCCATTTTAGACTTAATATGAAACTGTTGCTAAAGCAAAACTGTGATCATAATCATGCTGAGGAAGTGTACTTGTGTAGATGTCATATTGTTCTAAAATAAAGCATTCAGTGCAGAATTCAAACATTTTTTTGGTCTGCACCGACTCAATCATATAATCCGCTGTAAATTTGCGCCAATGGAAAGCATATTTACACTGTCTGAATCATTCCCTATCCCCTATATAGTGCACTATGTGCCATTCATCATGTAGAAAACAGTGAATATTTCAGCCACAGCTTCATCATCTATTTATAATATGGGGGCGGGGCTTCAGATTCTGAGTGATGTCATCAAAATCGTTGATCCATATTGATGAAAGTGAGAGACTGTTAGTTTTGAATGCTTATATCTTCTAAATCCGAATTGTGTTATTGCTTTGGACCACATTAGCTTATAGTAGATAACCTTAAAGGAGTAGTTCACTTAAAAAAAAATGCTGATAATTTATGTCATCCAAGATGTCCATGTCATTCTTTCTTCAGTCGAAAAGAAATGAAGGTTTTTGATGAAAACATTCCAGGATTTTCTCCACATAATGGACTTCAATGGGAACCAAACGGTTCAAGGTCCAAAAGACAGTTTCAGTGCAAACTACAAACTATTCAAAGGGCTTTAAACGATTCCAGACGATGAATAAGGGTCTTATCAAGCGAAACGATCACTCATTTAATAAATAAATAACAAAGTTTAAGTTTTATAAGCTCAAATGCTCTCCTTGCTCTGTTCTGTGATGCGTTCGTAACTCTCCTGTTTGAACTCGTTCATCAAAATGAACGAATCTTTTTCCAGAGTCGCTTGGTTCATTCAACAAACGAAACGAACTAAATGACATGGACTCTTGGATGACATGGGGGTGAGTGAACTACTCCTTTAAGGCTAACATATACAACAAAATATGTTAGTTTCATGGGGACATGCTGTCTGAGTGTCTCAGACTGTTAGTACGCCACGCCAGTCTTCGCTGTTCTCCTGATGCCTATTTCACCCGTGTGCAGTAACCAGCCGAATTACCCTCCAGACACTGCGGCCCTCGCTGATCCTCGCGGCTGAAAATCAATCTCTGTGACAGAGCCATCATCCGCCGCCACCGGGTCCAGGCATGCGTCAGTAAAGCTGAACCCTGAACGCCCATCTGGGTCTATTTAAAGCTGCTCTTGTCCCTGGCGTTCTGTCTGTCGGGTCTGGCTGAGATGGACAGTCTGAGACCGCTTGAGCCGTTCGCCGACGCCAGCGGAGCGGAGAGGACCTCTCATCAACCTGTGAATGAGATGAGGAGATTCGCTTAACACCTGCTGACAGCCTCTGGCTCTCTCACTCGGTCCCTCCAAACACAAACTCAGTGAGACTCAGCCTGGAAGTGTGTGTGGGAAGCAGTTCTGGTGTTGGACTCGAGACTAGAACAACTCCAACCGTTATTTGTCAGGGTATATGCAATGCCTGATTGTTACAGAAATAGCCAAAATGCACAAAAATGTACATTTTCATGAGTGACTCCCCCATCATGCCATACCTGAGGTGTGTGTCTTTCGTCTGTAAGAGTGTGTATGCGTTCGTTCGTTCATTCACACACCCACTTTGTTTGAGCTTCATAAAGAGAAATATTTCGGGTCTCTGTGAAGTATTTACTGAGTTACAGTCATGTTTAAGTTTGACGTTTTTCACAATGAACTTCACTGACAGAGAGAAGGCAAAACGCGCATCATGTTTATTTTTCTTTAAGCAGAACACTTGTGAGTATTGTGAGTATGCACACAAAAAGACACTTAACAGGATCGAATGATGTATAACACTTATGTGTAAGATCAAAATCAGCAGTAATTTGAGTCTTGTAATTTGGAGTTGAAGAAAGTGAGCTCGCTGCGCCCCAGAGGGCTAAATATAGATCAATCCTAATTAAAGGTATAAAAGATATAAATTGAAGAGCACTGAGTGGTTTTCTCGGTCTTCTGTTGTTCGATTAACATTACTAACACAGACTGAATCAGCAGTATTGGGCTGCTGTCCCTTTAAGACCGAATGCACTGATCAAATATACTGTTTCTTTCTCATTTATTTAAGACAAAACCGACTGTGTTTACGAGAATACTTTGCAAACTGACTTTTTGAGGCTAATTGATGCTATTTACAATGTTTACTATTTAAGATGTTATTTAAACTAAGTTTAAATAGCTATAGATTCTACTTTAATTGCAGTGTTTTATTCGCGATAAGTGTAAATGGTAATTTTATTTATACTTATTAGTTCCAGATACAATTTGCACCTTAGTGTTGTTGTACTTTAAATGGCATGAAATAATAACATAGAGTTTACATTATTATATATATTTAAATTATTAAATGGATACCACCTTATTGGCACAATAAAGCCCTCCCTACAGCCACCCCATAAACACACACATTAGACACTATTTACACTTTTCCAATATTTTGTTAATTTTTTATTAAAATAAATGCCTGTCACTTGGACGTGGCTGTGGTTACAAGAGGTAAAAACGATATAAATACTGTTGGTTTTCTCACACAAACCGCTCGTTTCGTGTCTTAGGCCATCAATGTGTACTTACATTTACGAGTCATTAAATCATGTTTAATCTGGACTTCTCTGTGCATGCTTTTTGAGGTGGTGACCATAGACCTCCATTATATGACTGACAGACAACAACGGTTTAACCTAAAAATATAAAAACAGGAGGTTATAGGGAGTTTGGCAATACTTTCTGCTATGCAACAAGAAGACACTACCAACCCAGTGTTCTCCGTAGCCTTGCCTGGCCCAATCAGACGTCAGTGGGCGGAGTCAGTGTGAATAGCCCAATCCTGGACATTTTGGGCGATCTTGAAACACATTTCCAGGCAGACTCATCACTAGTAGCCTAGACTTGTTGTTTAACGACTGCGCTCTGTTACCGGTAGGCGTGGCCTCCTAGGGCAGCGAAGCAAGTGCATTCTGGGAGTTGTTGTCTTTCATCCACATATGCCAAAAAATACATTTTCTGGCTTTTCTCAGTCTAGAAAGCTCCAAATTCAAAAATAATTTCACATTTCGTATCCCTTTAATTTGGAAAAACAGTGAAGAGTAGCAATAGAAACATTATTATTACAACCTGTTGGCAGGGATGTGGGGAAAAGAGTGCAAACCATGTTCATATTTTTTGGAGTTGCCCTTCGATGGTGAATTATTGGATGGAACTTAAACAATGCATGGACAAGATTTTACAAATTAATCTACCTTTCACTTCTGACACACTTTATTTGGGAAGACTTAATATGCAAGGTAAAAAGAATCTGAATTGGAAAATGTTTCAAATCATGTTACTAGCAGGAAAAAAGGGAATTACTAGGAAATGGCTAAAGGTGGAAGCGCCATGAAAGGAAAATTGGGTTGATGTGATGCATGATATATATGTTATGGAGAAACTGACCTCCACTTGTAGACTTGAAATGGATAAATTCAAGAGGTTGTGGAATGGATTCTTGAAATTTATTCAAACAATAAGATCAGACTTTGTCTGATTTATAATACCTGAGGCACTCCCCTGTTTTTGTTCTTGCTACCATGTTTTTTGTTTTGTTTTTTGTTTTTTTATTATTATTATTTATTTATTTATTTATTTACTTATTTTTTATTATTGATTTTCTGTTTCGTTTTGGAAAAAAAATGATGATGTAGGACAAGGACAAATATGTTGTATAATATGACTAAAAGTGTATTTTATGTCTTGCAACGTCAATAAAAAAAAAAAAAAAAAAAAAAAAGAAACATTATTATTATTTAGACCCAGTGAACCTGACTAATTACAGACCACTTCTGATTGTCTAAAATCCTGTGTGTGTGTGTGTGTGTGTGTGCCAGACAGTGAGGGTTAGCAGTGAGCATGTAATGGCAGCTGTGTTAGTGAGGTCATCCGAGTGGACACGTCTCCAGGGCTCTGGGTGGATCTGTCAGCTCACATCTGACCTCACACAAGTGAAATAGATAGCACAAAGAATCCAGTCCACACACACACACACACACACACACACACAGTCAGGGCGTATTTAAGACACGTCTCCCTACTTGTGTATGCTCTTCCTCCATTTCTGCTCTAGATTTTGATCTCTTTTGTTTGGTTCTTTCTCACCCCCGCAAGCCTTTTTGTGTCCAAGATAGCGTCTCTCTCACAAGCACACACACACACACACAATAACAACAGACGGTGCAAGTGTTGTGTTTGTCAGAGTCTAATTCTCCCTCTCTGTCCACTTCTGCAGTCATCACAGTCAGACGACATGCTGGGACCATCCTAAGATGACGGAGCTGTATCATTCTCTTTGTAAGTGACACACACACACACACACACTGAGTCGAATACATCTTTTGGGCCTCGAGAGATGCGCTGAGAGAAACTGAAGTCTCACCAAAATACACAGATGAATAAATACTGGACAGCAAGTGTCCGCATTCAGTGCAGGTGTGTGTTCGTGTGAGGCAGGAATCCTCTAGAGTCATCACACACACACACACACACACACACACACACACACACATGGCACCGAACCAGTTGTGAGAGAGTTAGTTTTGTGTTTGGTTCAGGTATATATATGAAGAGTTCAGATGCAAAAGCCTCTAAATGCCATTTGAAATTTTCTTCTTTAATGATGATTTTTAGCAAACGTGTATATTTAAGTTCAGTAATTTCACTTAAATAACAATTAATAGGTAATTATCATTGCCATTTAAGTGAAATCACTGAACTTCAATATACAAGCTTGATAAAAATGATCGTTCCAGAAGAAAATTTCAAATGGCGCTTAGAGGCTTTTGCATCTGAACTCTTCATATATATCAAAAATAATTAATACTGTTGTTAATGTCTCGAATAAGATTTTATGTTCTATATTTGAATTTTCGATTAAGTTATAGTTATTTAATTATATAATATTTCATATCCGGTAAATGCCAACCTTATTTTTGTTTTCAGTTTTAAATTTGATCTAATATTATCTAACTAAATAATTGTAATAGTTTAATTTAGCAGTCAAAAAGTACCTTTTATTTGATGTATTTAATAGTGTGTTATCTTAACTCATTTCGCACGATAAATCTAAAAGCAGACAGGATTTCAGAACAGAATGAGCTTTTTGTGGGTTTAAAAATTGAATAGAATCGGTCAAGTTTTGTGTCCGTCAAATCTCGCCGTTAATTCTACGCTGCTAATGCTAATGAGTGTGTTTACCTTCACAACAACACACTGATCGTTCTGAAAACACCAGGAAACCACGTTAGGATGGATTTTAAAATCAAATTGTTTTCCGGCTGATGTCAGACGTGATTTGTGTGAAGTTGACAGATGAGACAAACATCTCGCTGTATTGATCATGTTTTGTTAAGCATTTTTGACCTTTTCTCAATAAGAACAGTTCAACCTGTTACATGACCTTTCCACCCCCCCCACACACACTTATTAACCTTAAAGGGTTAGTTCACCCAAAAATGAAAATTAAGTCATTAATTACTCACCCCCATGCTGTACCAACCCCGTAAGACCTTCGTTCATCTTCGGAACACAAATAAAGATATTTTTGATTGAATCTGAGGGCTGGATCACTCTTCCATAGACAGCCTGAGGGACTGCCTCTTGACGGCCCAGAAAGTCATTAAAAGAAAAGGTTTAAATATTCCATGTGCCTACAGTGGCTCAACTATAACTTTATCAAGCGACGAGACTACTTTTTGTGCGAAAAAAAAAACGTAAATAACGACTTTATTCGACTTTCCATTACTTCCTTATGGGCGCATGCGCGAGAACTGAGACGAGACCGTTCTTCTTCGGATACTTTTTGTTACCGGCTGCTCACCGCTTAGGAGTTTTACCGCCCCCTACCGTATAAGATGACGTACTGATATAGCCGGAGGCGCAAAACGTTCTGTTTACAAGCAGTACGTCATCTTATACGGTAGGGGGCGGTAAAACTCCTAAGCGGTGAGCAGCCGGTAACAAAAAGTATCCGAAGAAGAACGGTCTCGTCTCAGTTCTCGCGCATGCGCCCATAAGGAAGTAATGGAAAGTCGAATAAAGTCGTTATTTACGTTTTTTTTTTCGCACAAAAAGTAGTCTCGTCGCTTGATAAAGTTATAGTTGAGCCACTGTAGGCACATGGAATATTTAAACCTTTTCTTTTAATGACTTTCTGGGCCGTCAAGAGGCAGTCCCTCAGGCTGTCTATGGAAGAGTGATACAGCCCTCAGATTCAATCAAAAATATCTTTATTTGTGTTCCGAAGATGAACGAAGGTCTTACGGGGTTGGTACAGCATGGGGGTGAGTAATTAATGACTTAATTTTCATTTTTGGGTGAACTAACCCTTTAACCGGTGTCAGATCACACTTGTAAACACGCTCATTAAACACTGAAGTCAAACACTGAATCAGTCTGCATGTTGTAATGAAATATGCTGTTTATAACGTATGTGGTCAAACGGATTACGCGGATGTGTGTGTCACAGTGTCACAACTACAGACTCGTTCTCACACACACTTCAGGAAGTTCACTTTACACTCGGCGTGTTGTTCACGTTTCTTGAGCTTTCTCTTCTGTTTCCATACAGCGGACCTCAACAATGTGCGCTTCTCCGCGTACAGGACGGCTATGAAGATCCGCCGGCTACAGAAAGCCCTCTGCTGTAAGTGTGTGTGTGTGTGTGATTAGAGCTGCATCGTCTCACTCCATCGGCTCAATTAACTTAGAGAGGCCCAATTAACAGCTAAAAGAGAATCCGTTAGGTGTGTGTGTGTGTGTGATGTCTCCACCACCTCACATCGTCATTTGCATCGCGTGTTTGTTTGTTGTTGTTAATAGGTCTAATTAACAGGGAATATGTCATCCATCCATCGCTCCATCAAAGATGGTGTTCAGTCGCTGACGTGATCTAGCTGAGCCATGAAGACACGAGCAATCAAACCTGCGTGTTACTTATGTTAATTATGTTAATTAATCAGGTGTTTGCTTTAACATGACATTCTGCCCATAAGCTTGGTTTCTATTATATCAGTTCTTAAACTGCACATACGCTCTGATTGCCTGCTACACTGAAAAAAATAATATGCTTTATCTAATCAATAAAATTGTGGCAACATATTACAAGCAATATTATTAATTAAATTGTACAAATTAGAATTAATTAGAATATTAATTTGATTAACTATTACTCAATTCTAATTTGTTTAATTTAATAAATAATATTGCTTGTAATCTGTTGCCACAATTTTATTGATTAGATAAGCATATTCATTTTTACAGTGTATTTTATTGCTTTCTGTATATATGAAATACAGTCAAACCAAAATGTATATTTATTTCACAGTTTATTCGCTATAGTTTAGAAAATGGTGATATCACATCAAATCACAGTTCTCAGATCAGTGGAAATTTGACTGGTTTTGTCCGTCCTTCTGTTGGACTCTCACACATGAATTATGTTGAATATCTGTTCAATTGAACTCCACAATTAGATAATACCAGTTTAGCTCAACCAGTGACCAAGCAATGCTTCATTGTGTTCAGTGTGTGTGTGTAAAAAGAGCATTAGCGATTACAGAAAACACACTTGGTCTGGTCAAAATGTCTGGTCCCACATTTTTTTACGGTATAATATGTTACGGTTTACTTTATTTTGCTTTTTTTTTTGTTTACATATCAGAAATGATATCTGGTGTCTGAATAATCTTTGGTTTGACTGTACTTACATGCAATGATTAAGCTCACACTGGATAACATATTATGTGCTTCCACATTTTGCTCATCAGGATTGTTGTATCGCATTATTAATTTAGTTTTAGGTAATAATATTCCAGTAATGATAATCATGATAATTGTTCAACCCTATTCACGACCTTATCTTGTCTTATGTTTTGAGATTTAATAGCGTCTGAACTGTTTTTTGAAGTACTCAAATGGCTTTTGATTTAAATATTAATATAAGAAAACCTCGCTGTTTGTGAGCATGTATAGTCACTGGATGGAAAATATGCCCTTTAATGTGTTTTTAATGACTTGGATTACTATTTAATTACTTAAAAAGACAGATATTTCTCCTCTAATGCTCCACTAGAAAGTCATAATCTCAACAAAAAAATTATTTCTTGTAATCCAGATGTTATTTACATTGCCAAAAATCAAACTCAGATAGCTGATATTGTTATCCAGTGAGATCTTCACACAATCATGTCTTATGCTATTGAAATGTGCAGTTTTATGATCAAAGCTCTGTAGTTTTAATATATATAATGCGATACAATACAGTGATGATTGAGAGAAAAGCCTGTCGATCATATGTGACTAATAAATTATGGATAATTAAGTAAATATTCATCTTCAAACATAACTAATACAATCAGGTGAATCGACACTGAAGTTGGGCGTTTGTACATTTACACTAAAAAGCCTGGTGACACTTTACCATATGTTATGAATATGAAGTAGGGTTTATGCATGTTTATGACAACTGTTATTAAGTGTCATTTGCTCAATAATGACATTTTGAATGCAAATATGACATTGCTTGAGATGTCTTTGTTATGACACCTTGACATAAACCAATACATCATAACCTGTCAGTGTCTTTGTCATGATATCTTGACATTAAATGAAGTTAAACTGTGATGTGGTTGGCTTTGACATTGGCTGTCA